CTACCTCGTGTTTTAAAACTGCACCAAACTCTCTTATGTTTAAGTACGTGTTGCACACGCTCCCGTCTTTTATTTCCTCATTAACGGCGTTAGTTTTTTTTTTTTCAAAAACCTCGTTATACCCTCTAAATATTATATATATTTATGATAAAATGTCAAAAACTATATCCTCTAAATATTATATATCTACTTATGATAAATTGAATTTATCGCGATATATTGCATATATCGTGAGAAATTAAACAAAAAAAAAAATTAATTCAATTTGAATTTATATATCTAATCAATTTGTATATCTATTTCCTCATTTATTTTACTTTATCATTTGTATACCCTATTTCTTTTATAATTATTATTTTTATGTTACTTTAATTAGTTTATGATTTCATTTTATTTATCTTTTAATTCAATTTTTGTATTATATTTTTATTTAAAATTTATTTCTTTTATACTGTTATTTTATTTTATTTACTTTATTTTAAAATATTTAATTCATTTATGTGTATAAATATATTTATATTCTATGAATTTCACATCCATCCAAGTAACCCAATGGTAGAGTAGGTGTGCCCTTTCCACCCACCCAAGTTCGAATATTGCTATTTACATTTATAAATGTAAATTATTAATTATGTAAAATAAAAAAATTGAATAATTCTTTTCACGCGCCATTATGTTGGACGGTATGGGGGAAGCGTGCAACACGTACTTAAACATAAAGAGGTCTGGTGCAGTATGTGTGGGACCGCACTCTCTTGCCCCGATTCTCTAATCTTACGTGGTATCAGAGCTAGGCCGACTCCTGTCTGGGTTTCTATCTCTACCCGACCAACTCCGGTCAGAGTCTCTATCTCTACCCGACCTGCTCTGGGCTGGGGATTATGAAGAACGGGGCGTGTTGGAGTATCACTTGTGAGTTGTCCCGCTATCTATAGGGAAAATAAGCCTAATATATAAGTCAAGTGGGCTACTCCTCCCATCACCAATTGGTTTTGGGATGGAACATCACTATTGTGCACCTAGACTCACCCTCTTATGGTGCGCTTAATCTGCATGGGACCACACCCTCTTGCCCCGATTCTCTAATCTTACGGGAGAAGCATACAACACGTAGTTAAACATAAAGAGGTCTGGTGCAGTTTTTAAAACACAGAGTACTAACGCGCTCATCTATTAATATATAAAGAGGGAATGATATTTATTTGAAAAAACATGAAAAAAAATCAGCAAAAAAAAGATGCCAAATTCCCGCCCAAATGAAAAAAAATGTGAAAGATTTTTGGCTAAAATTATTAATCCGAGCGCCATCAAATCGTTTCAAAATTTTTGGAGATATTTGGATATTTATTTTAGCCTTTTTTGGACTTATCTATTCCTATAATCCGATTTTTTTTAATGATTTGTTCAGATTTTCTTATAATCACGTGTGCCATATAATCCTATCTATATAAATACATGTTTATTATCTCTTCCAAAACTTCACAACAGAAAAATACACACATTTTTTTTTCGACATACACAGAAGAAAAAAAAATGGCGCACATCCTTGGTACACTTGAGGCCGTCAATAAAGCCAACCAGCCTTTATTGACATTGAGAGTAGTCAACATTTTCGAATCTCATTCAGATCTGCAGTGCAAGAACCATTTCCAAATCCTGTTTCATGATAAAGATGTAAGCATTTCAATTGTTTTATATAACATAAATTATTGCATAAATTATATTAATTAATTCTATACCTTTACATTGTAGGGTGTACACATAAATGACATCATACGTTCACGAAACATGAGATTTTATCGAGATATCTTCAAAGAGGGTGATGTTTATGTTATCAACAACTATACTATCGAATTCAATAACCGAAAGATCAATGGAACCAGCCACAAATGGATGCTTGTGCTTAATCTAGATACTGATGTCATCAAGTACAATGGAAATTTTCCACACCACTAACGAGCAGCAAGAGACAATGAAGAGATGCAGTATGGCTTTCTTTGGAAATTATGATAGTTTTATTCCATGGCAATTGTTGGATATGATAATATTTATTTGAATTTTGAGGCTATTATTTTTATTATAATATTTGTATTATTTATTTTGATATGATTTAAAGTTTATGCCTAAATAATTTTATTGTAATTTAAATCGAGCTCTAACATTTCTAATATAGTTTGGTATAATATAAATATATTAACTAATTAATTAATACCTATATGTTCATTGTCATTATGAATTTTCGAAAATTTATATAAATTCAATCAATAATTTATTTTCCCTTTTTAATTACGTTTGAAATGATAATTCAAATTTACTCTAAAATGGTCTACAAATTAAATTTATTTTCGTGTTAAATAAAATGTCGTATATTTTTGTATTCATGATATGCAAATCGATTTGTATAAATATAACGATATTGATTATCACAATTAAATTTAATATGGGTTGCTAAACAAATATATTAATGAATATTGAGATCAATATGGTCGTCCGATTTTATATAACAAACATCCCAATCAATATTTTCCTATTTTATTTACGGCTAAAAATTTAGTTACCAAATTAATATTAAAGAAACTAAATATTATGAAAGTAATAATAACGAGAAAACTAAACATTTTTGTTACGTCTATAATTAAGAAACTTAATATTCTGTAAGTATGATATTCTGAATGGTATCCTAAGTCATTAAAACTACTAAATAGTATCCTAAAAAATTAAAACTACTTCATAACAATCAATAGGGATTGCATGATCTTTTTTTTATGGTATTATAATTAATAAAAATCGGAATTATCATTATGAATTTAATAATGATAAGTATGTTAAATAAAGATAAGTATGTTAACATTTAGATAAGTATGTTAAATATTGAGATAAGTATGATAAATATTGAGATATATATTTTCCTATTTTATTTACGGCTAAAAATTTAGTTACCAAATTAATATTCAAGAAACTAAATATTATGAAAGTAATAATAATGAGGAAACTAAATATTTTTGTTACGTCTATAATTAAGAAACTTCATATTCTGTAAGTATAATATTCTGAATGGTATCCTAAGTCATTAAAACTACTAAATATTATCCTAGGAAATTAAAACTACTTCATAACAATCAATAGGGATTGCATGATCTTTTTTTATGGTATTATAATTAATAAAAATCGTAATTATCATTATGAATTTAATAATGATAAGTATGTTAAATAAAGATAAGTATGTTAACATTTAGATAAGTATGTTAAATATTGAGATAAGTATGATAAATATTGAGATATATATTTGAAAACTTTTAAATCAAAAAAAGTTAAATATTGAAATGAATATTGTCGTCCAATTTTATATAACAAATATCCCAATCAAAATTTTCCTAATTTTATGTACGGCTAAAAATTTTGTTAACAAATTAATAATTAAGAAACTAAATATTATGAAAATAATAATTAAGAAACTTATATTTTGTAAGTATAATATTCTAAATAGTATCCTAAGTCATTAAAACTACTTCGGGTACCATTCTTCTTGACTAGAAATCGGTATAGCAAGAACTTTTTTATGGTATTATTATTAAATAAAATTCGGATTTATCATATTGAAAGTAATAATCTAAATCTATAAAATATTTACATTACTCTATTTAACAAATGTAATTCACCTAATTTTCCCTATAAAAAGACCAGTTCATTTTTTAT